AGATAAAACGCAGTAAATAAAAAGCTAGAGTAACAAATTCTCACGTTTCCCCAATAACCTAGAGGGTCCCCGGCAACGGCGCCAAAAACTTGACGCTCTAAAACACAACACCAATCTGCGACCAAGTGTAATCGCAGACCGGGAATGCAGTAACAGGCAAGTTATATTATCAACCCGGGCTCTAGATCTACTGCTTACTCAGTGATTCTCTGTTATCTAGCCAACTAGAGTAAGTGATTGTTGTTTAAACTAAAAGCAGAAATAAAGCAGGAAATTATTCGGTTTTCTTAAGCAGGAAAGAGTCACTCGGGAATGAATCCCCCTAGCTCTTTAGTTAGGTTTCAATTGCAATTTACCCTGGGTTGATTTACTGTTGATTAGACTGCGGAAGATCCGGCAGTAGCTTGGAATCTCTTAAGCTGACCAAGCCCTCTCAGTCTAACTATCCGGCAGACGACTAGTCTTCACCGGGATAGAAAGCTGAAGCAGTAAGAACAGAAATTCACTATTGGAATTAGATTCCAGTACAGAGCAGTAAACTGGCTAACTCTCGTATAGCCAATCTCCTACTACCGAATGATGAGACTCTAGCAACCTAATCAGATTCTATCCATCTCAGATTGCAGCAGGAATCAGGAAAAGTTGATCAGACTTCAATTGACTCAATAAACATGCATCATTCGATTATAATCAAACAGTAATATCATCCCAAGTCATTACAATCAATCCCCTAACACATAGAACTAGGGTTCTTCATCCCCAAGTGAGAGAGAGGTTCTACTCCATAGAGAGAGAAAAGAAAACAGTAATCGGAGTAGTCATACTCATAATGATGAGGATAATCTGCTCCGGGATGATGATTTCCACTCCTAGGACGATCTCCAAGCTTGATTTGATGAAACCCAGCTCCAAGATGGCTTCTAGGGTGAGTTCTTCGCACTTTCTCTCTCTAAAACTCTGTTTTTGCTCAACAAATTCGATCCTCCCCCTTTTTGCTCGGAATAGGCTCTAAAACCAGATTTCCCCACTCGCACGGCCAGGGTGCACGGCCGTGCATATCACCATTCTGGCCGTGCAACTCAAAACGCAGCGTGTCATTTAGTCGAACTTCAGCCCTCTCGCACGGCCAGGGTGCACGGCCGTGCGAGCTTCAGGGGTTGCCCGTGCGTGTCCTCGGCATAAGGCGCACGGCCATATTGCTCACGTGCACGGCCGTGCAGCCTCCCTGGTCTGCCCGTGCAGCTCCCCAAAAACCTCGCCATTCGTCCGTTCTTCGTCCAATCGACCCCAGACTCGCTCCTAAGCCTTCATTCACGTACTAGGACCTGAAACATCACAAACAAGCACAACCTAGCGTGAAATCAGCCTAAAACACGAGAATCAACACCTCAAACGGTGTAAGAATGGGGGTAAAAACATGTGTAAATGACGGTCTATCACTTAGCAACTTAGGGGTTGTGCATATGTTGTGCTTAGCATCCTAGGGATTGTGCATAATCATACTTAGCACCCCTAAGTTTGTGCATTTAGGTTCTAGTAATCTAATTTGCCATGCCTAGTTTAGAGAGGAAAATCCCCCTTCGTAAGGGAGACTCAATCGAGTTGGTTTTCCTTCCGCTTTCCAAGCCACCTAAACTAGGTTGAGTTAGGGCAATCCTCAATATTGAATTGAACAAGTCGATTGATCGTGGTTAAACCGTCCGACTTTAGAGTTGAGTTAGGAAGTAAGCCGATTACCGATTGTCTAAACCGAGAGGGTCGAGTGTCACGACCTTTCACCCTCACCTCGGTTTAGCAATCGAGACTGTGGTCTCCGACCACATACACTTTCCTCTGCGGTTCACGATCAACGTGCCCAAGGCAATCGTTCCAATCCACGTAGCATGGTAGCGGTTAGGGGGAAGCGAAACCCAAGTTACTTTCCCACAAAAGAGTTTTCAAACCAAATTACTATTTAGATCATGAATTAGATCATGAATTAACCGAAGTTTTTGGCATGATACTATACTCTAACCTCTAATGGGTAAACCCCAGTCCCTAATTTTCTAACTCAAATCATGAGATGCGTTTAATCTTAAAAAGTAAATCAACAATAATTTCGACGAATCGGAACCGTTGATTTTCATTTCAAGATTAAATGAATATTATGCTTTGGGTTAGTGAATTGGGGACTGGGGTTCACCCATTAGGGGTTAGGATATAGTATCATGTCCCAAACTTTGGTTAATTCATTGTCTAAATAGCAAGACTCTACGGGCATACGATAGCCTTTGCCATATATATGGGTCAGACTCGTGTGCTCCTGGAGCATACTATGCTCCATGTACTCATAGTGATATATCTTTATCTAGACCATGAATTAAACCGAGTTTGGGGTATGATATTATACCCTAACCTCAAATGGATTGACCCCATGCACGATTTTCTAATCCCAAACCCAAAGTTCAATTTAAGAGAAAAGAAGAGTTGACGGTCGAGATTGGTCGGAGCTAATCCATGTATTTCTAACAGTCAGATCATCTGGAGCATACTATATTCCTGGAGCATACCAGTTGTCTCCATATATATGTATGTATGGGTTAGACTGGTACTCTTGGAGTATACTATACTCCAGGTATTTTTATCGAGATATCTCTATCTAGACCATGAATTAAATCGAGTTTGTGGTATGATACTATACCCTAACCTCTAATGGATAAACTCTCGTCTCCGATTCTCTAAACTCAAACCAGAAGTTCAATTTAATAAAAAATATTAATTGACCGTTGAGATTGGCCGCAGCTCAAAAAAGAAGATCTAACGGTCAGATCACCTGGAGTATACCAGTCATTACTATATATATATATATATATATATATATATATATGCATCTGATACAATTCTCAAACCCTTAAAGATTAAAATTTAGGTCTTAGTTCTATAAATCTCATATACTAAGATCAATTTAATTAGGAACAAAAATCGACGATCATGATTCGTCAAAATATATGCAACAAATTACATGCAAAATCTTATGGGTTATGCTCTATAAATCTCATACATTTTCCTACTCATGTTATATCGTACCCTATATTTTACCCAAATTACGATAAATATATATATATATATATATATATATACTAACCCCTAATCCAACTACTATTTCTAACCCCTCACACTACTTGCCAAAAATAATAACTCACCACAATTATACTAATAATCACAAAGACACAAACCCCTCACAAACACATAATTATAATAATAATTGACTAAAACCATAATGCATCATAACGTCAGTTTATTATACAACCATAAATAAAATTCCTAATGAGAATCATTCGCCCAAAAGTTGACTTTGTGCCAATTCGAACATGGAGTAGCCTCCTGCTCACGCAACTTGATCAAATTGTTGTTTTTTTGTTTCCTTTGCGAGTTGATTTACCTGAGTGAGTATAAATGGAGTATTAGGAAGGACAGAGCTGCAGGGACAAACAATTAATGTGGCATTCAAAATTATGTGTTTTATAGTAGGGTTATAGGTATAATATGCCCCTTTACTATGTAGTTTTATCAAACAAGTCCTTCTACTATTTTTTACATCAAACATGCCCATATACTGTGAAAAAATTATCAAAAATGCCCTTACGTAAAAATTTCCATTAAAAAAATGGTCAACCACAGTTGAACCGAGATTCACACGACCCGACATCGGAAAAATTGGGGTTGAAATGTAAGTTTTTCTTCCTCATTTATTTCTCCAGGTCTTGTTAAAGTGAAATTATGAGAGGTATATGGCTATACAACAGAAACAAAACAATTCTAAAGTGAAATTATTGGGAATATTTTAGACATAGGTGTCGCCCAAACCAAGGTTTGACTATGATTGATGGTTTTTGGATGCAAATTTTAATAAAGGGCATGTTTAATCATTTTTACAAAGTATAAGGGTATGTTTGATGTAAAAAATAGTAGAGGGACATGTTTGATAAAACTACATAGTAGAGGAGCATATTATACTTATAACCCTTCATAATATTATAAGCGACGGCTGATACTGTATTTGATATGAATCGCAATTGCTCGTAATAACGATTATGTGGTAAGTGCATTAAATGCACCCAAAAAAGTGGGTACACTCAATACACCACTATATATATATATATAAGATATATACTAACCCCTAATCCAACTACTATTACCAACCCCTCCCACTCTACTTGTCAAACAATAATAACTTACCACAATTATACTAATAATCACAAGAGTGAAGTCTATTGTCACGATAGGTGACAAAACACCTGATCTTGGTTTATTCACGCCATATTTCCTGTATTCGCGTCGTATTTGTTTCATTCACGTCATATTTGCATTATTCACGTAAGAGTGTTGATTATTCACGCAACCAATATTATTAGGTCACACAACCTGATGTTCATTCACGCATATTGTTAATTATTCACGCCATTGTAAAATAAAAATTTTGAACATTGACATATATCAATGGATGTCATTGTGTATATTATGATCAATGCAACATATTTTTACAGTTTAGTTGATAATTCAAATTTAATTCCATAAAATATAGCCAATACAAATTATTAGGAGCGAAAAGTCTGAATTTCCATTTACGTGAAAAAACTTACACTCTTACGTAAATCACCATAATACTATGTGAATGAGCATAAAATGGCGTAAATGAACTGAGATTAGGTGTTTTGTGATAAAAGATGTTTTCCTAATCAAACCCCTTAACCCTTCCAAACACATATTATTATTATTATTATTATTATTATTATTATAATTATTATTATTGACTAAAACCATAATGCATCGTAAAGTCAGTTTATTATTCAACCATAAATAAAATATGGAGTAGCCTCCTGGTCTGGCAACTTGATCAAATTGTTGTTGTTTTTTTTTTGTTTGCCCAGCCATAATGGGGAAAACTGAAAACACGATGAGAGTTGACCTAACCTGAATGACAGAATGAGTATAAAATGACTTTGTGCCAAATAAAATGACCTACGGGGAGAACATGGCGGGTACAAAAGTATTAGAAAGGCCAGAACTCCCCTGCAAGGCACAAACAAACAAATTAACTGAAGAAGATCATGGTGAGCAGCAGCAGCAGCGATATCGAGTTGATCGAAGCCCAGGGTCGCATCTGGGGCTACGCCTACACCTACATTATCAACAAGTGTTTGAAATGTGCGATCCAGCTCGGGATCCCTGACGTCATCCACCGTCACTCCCCGGGACCCACCTCCCTCCCCGCCCTGCTCTCCGCCCTCCAACTCCACCCATCTAAGCACGACGCCGTCCGCCGCCTCCTCCGCCTCCTCGTCCACGCCGGCTTCTTCAAACTCGAAGACGAGTGTAATAATTACTCTCTCACCCCTGCCTCCGAGCTCCTCCTCCTCTTCCCCGACAAGGAAGGGGCCGATCCGGCAACTAAACAACCGCCGGCCCATCTGTTCCTCGGGCTCGACAACGGCGACGACGCATTCGGCGTCTGGAGCTCTCTGAGCACGTGGTTCCGGCGCAGCGACGGGGCGGCGGCGGCGGAGGCTATCCTGGGCATGTCGTTTTGGGACGCCATGGCGAGGGAACGGTGGGCGATGCCGCAGTTTTACGACGCCATGACCGGGGACTCCAAGTTGGTGGCGAGAGTGATGGTGTCGGAGTACTGCAGAGACGTTTTCCGAGGAGTGGGGTCGCTGGTTGATGTCGGCGGCGGCACCGGGATCATGTCCGCCGCCATTGCCGGGGCTTACCCGAACATCAGCTGCACCGTGTTTGATCTGCCTGAGGTTGTTCCCGACTCCCGGGAGGCTCGAGCTATCGGTCTTGCCAATTTGGAATTTGTTGGAGGGACGATGTTCGAGAAAATTCCACATGGGGACGCAATTCTCCTCAAGGTATTGTATTGGGCTATCAATCAACTATCTATTTACCAGTCTATCCATATGCTGAGTTCTACTGTATTCATTTCACGGTATGCGGTACAGTATATCAAATATGAAAAACGTTATACAGATCTCGAATTAACTGATCTTTTGGGCATGATATAATACTCTAATCTTTAAAGATCAAAATCTATGTTTCGATTATGTAAATTTATACCCAACATAAGTTTAATTAAAAACAATAATCAAGATATACAGTACCCTAGATTTCACTCTTAATACTGTACAAACCAATATATATATATATATATATTCTTATTTTTCTTTCAATCATCTCTACAAAATTTACATTTTTAGGCCATCTTATTAACTAATAAAATAATAACTTGCTATTTAAGTATATGACTTATCTTTTAATACAATGTCCATTTCATTTCAATTAATCAGTTATGCAGTCTTGTCAATCATTTATTCTGCAGTAATTATTGTAATAAATAAATTCTTGATTTTTTAACCAAATTAAGGTGATGATATTTAACCAACAAAAAAAAAGGCGACTAGACAAATATATATCCCTCGGGACCAGATATAACCTTTTCTCCTTTTTTTTAAACAAAAATTCTGCCATATTATATGTTTTTATGTAAATTTATTTATGTCGATGTACATCACCTATGTGTTCCCCCCAATGTCATCAATCGCAGCAATCGATTAACCTTTTTCTTTGTACATTATTTAATCATATCAATTACCGGTTATTTTACTGTTGTGAAAATTCAAAGTTCTTTCCATATTAATTATGTTAAATAAAAAATCATAGACATTTCCCCACAAAAAAAAAAAAAAATTCATAGACATCATGATCTGTTCTTTTTGTTACACCGTGGAACGGAGAAACTTAGCCCTTGTTCATTTCATCTGATAATTAATGATGCCGGCAGTGGGTCCTTCACAACTGGGACGACGAGAACTGTGTGAAGATTTTGAAGAACTGCAGGGAGGCAGTGTCGTCGAGTGATAAGAACAATAAAGGAAAGGTGATATTGATAGACATGGTGGTCGACATTGATCAAATTGTTGCCAACGACAAAGACTTTTCCCAAGTACAGCTCTGCTCCGATTTGCTGATGATGTGCTTAGTCAACGGCAAAGAACGAACTGAAGCTGAATTCAACAATCTGTTCATCACTGCTGGGTTTAGTGGCTACAAAATCGTACGTGCACTTGGCCCAAGATCGATTATCGAAGTCTATCCATGATTGTTTGTTGTTCCTCCTTTACTTTGTTTTCCTTTGGGTGGAAATGTTGTGTTGTGTCTGTTGTGTGAAGATAGTCGTCCCTGTTCCTTATTCACAACTTTGCAATTCCCATCTACCTTTCCTCTCTTGTAATTATTAGTCGACTACAAATCTCAAAAGTTGCATAGGACACCTTTGCGCGCTTTAGATCTGGTGGCTACATCGCGACAGTTTGTCTTTGAGAAGAAAAGGATGAGGAATCTGGGTTTTATAGCCCCATGTATCAGTTAGTGGTGTAGTTAGTTGGACTAGGTATGCTGGTGGTTCACTTGCAAAACGTGGTGTCTTGATTCCATTAAAAAAATACTATCATTGCACAAAACACCTATATCATTGGAGAAATAAAAATACTACAATTTCACAAAACACCAAATACAATTGCAGATTTAATCAATACCAATGCACGACAAAATCAATATACATACGACAAAAACAATACCAATGCGACAAAACAAAAAACAATACTATACTGTTCCATAAAACAAACAATGAACCACTACCAAAACAAAACAAAAAAACATATCTAGGTTTTATATATATCTACGATGGATAAAGAGATAGGGGAGCGGATCTCATATCAGTAACCATGAGTAAAACGTCCACATCATCGTGACAACAACATCCCTCTCTCTTATGAAAAGATTTCATCTTTTTCTCCTTAATCTTTAACGGGTGATTTCTCTCTCGTTTTAAGTCAGAGTTGAATTTTTTTGCACATATAAATCGAATTAATTGTGCTCTTTAAAATGATATTTACTTTGATATATTTTTAGAAGAAAAAAAGACATTTTTTACTAGTCAATACCATACGGTATTAAATAGGAGCATACCAGATGGTAAGAAAGCGTACCATGATGGTATGAACATACCAACACTGTAGAAATGTTGCATACATGATAGTACAAGTATATTAACTGTCATTTACGACTTTCATCATTGTTTAGCACAAGTTACCACCCCCATACTAGGGTGGTAAAGTACAATAATTTTTTGTCCTGTATTTTTTCACCCATAAATTTTTAGATCCCATAGATCATGATAAACTCGTTCTTTCTGCGCAAATATTTTCAAAAAACGACTAAAAGACGAAGGAGTTACCATATGGTATGGAGTTGGTAACAAGAGGTATGAAAATAAAATATTGAAAATTGATCTCATTTTTTAGAGCACAACTAACTCGTTCCATCTGTGCGAAAAAAATTGAAATCCAAGTTAGAATGAAGAAGATAAGAGCCGATTAAGAAAACTAGGAAAAATAAAATGTCTTTAATTTACAACCCTTAAATCTGAATTTTCTGGGGCCACTTAGATCTAAAATTCCAGCTTGAGTTTCTCATGGGTGAGTAACCAACTCACCCTATCTTAAGTCGAGAGATAGGGAGGGAAGGAGATTACCGCCCATCACCATCTCACCCCTCCACCACAGTCGTCTCCCAGAGAGAGAGAGAGAGTGCCTGTGGTGGCCGAGGGTGGCCGCGAACGAAGGAAGAGAACCACCAACATGAGAGGTGTTAATGGTTATGGAAAATGTGGTTGGAGTAAGGTTTAGATATAATATATAGAAATTAATTTTTTAAATGATAGAAATCAGGTGTGGTATTTTATATTATCAAAATTACCCTTAATCTAATCTTCATCGTCAATTTAAAATTAGAGTGAAATAGAGATAATGAAAGGTATAGAATTTAGTAGTCACCGCCCTAACGCATTCCCTATAATATCACTTACTCTTAGCGTATACTCCTCAGTAGCTGAAATGTCTCTTTCTTCAAGGCTTTTTTCATTATTGTCATTCACTTACTCATGTGTCCCGATGAAGGAATCGTTCGGGGGGAGGTTGAGCGGCCGCCAGAGACTAGCGAGTACGATGTCGAGGTCGAAGTGGTTTTCCGGGAAGGAGCTCCGGTGGGCATCGTCGTGCTAGAGCTTCCATCACTCCGACCAACCTTCTACTATCAGACCGTCGACCACTGCACGAAAAATCACATATAGCGACATCAACATTGTGCCGCTACAAGCCATTTATTTGGCTCTAATTTTCTTTAGAGGCAGATAATTATGTGACACCAATACTGTTGCCGCTAATTCTCTTTAGAGACAAATATTTGCGAAAAGTATATATGTGCCTCCAATTATACATTAGAGGCAGGTATATTTGTCAGCCATTCTAGATTTTATAAGGTGCCCATTTGTTTGCAATGTTCCTTTGCTCAACTAATAAATTAGCCGCCAATTATGATTAATGAAGGCAAATTAAAGGCCTCCAAAATAGTTTTATTAGCCTCTATTTCCCGGTCTCAATTACTCGAACGCGTTGTGAATAGAGGAAAAATAAATGCTCTCAACTGTGATTGGAGGATTCCCGACCCCGGCGCCGACCCTCTTTCCCTCCGACCGACCACCCGACTCTACTTCTCCATCGATGATAGCCGACTCAGATTTGTTAACAATGAATGTGGCTACTGTCACTTCTTCCTCGGATATGATTATTGACTCTTCTTCTTTAGTGTCTGTGTAGAAACAGGGGAACCCGGAGCCGGTGGCGGAGACACAACCGGGACAAGCAATAGGGATGGCTATCGGTCACCAACTCTTCAACTATGCCAAGGCCGTAATGGGGCTGACGCCAATGGCAGAAAATCTGAGTCAAGCAAGCCAATGGACTCCAGTGGGGGAGCATGATCTGGTGACAGGTGTTCGCAATGAGGAACCGGCTTTGCAAGTGTCGGCTGCGTTCAAGGCTAAAATATGTGCACCATGGCAGAAAACTCTTGTGGTTCGATTGCTTGGTCTGAGGATTGGCTTTGTCAATCGCCTAAAAAATTTATGGCATCCGATGGGCACAATGGAGGTCAAGGATCTTGATCATGATTCCTTCTTAGTCAAGTTGGACAACGAACAAGGTTACTTCCGAGCTCTGACGGTTATATATGATCTTTATTTGGTGGTTCAACAATGGTCTCCGAAGTTAAGACAATGATCATTTGGGTGCAACTTCCAGCCCTGAAAATTCACTTCTACCACAAAGAGGTTTTAAAAACTTTGGGAAATCTCATAGGCAAGACCATCAAGTTAGACTATCTCACTCTGACACATGAAAGAGCAAAGTTTGCTCCACTAGCGGTGGAGCTCGACCTATCAAAGAATCTCGTACCCTGAATATGGCTCGATGATGAATGGAAAAAAGAAGAGTAAGAGAACCTCTCCAGAGGTTTGTTTCGAGTGCGGGAAGATTGAGCGTTTTTCTGCAGTCTATCCACAGAACTTGCCGATCTCCCCCTTGTCGGTACATCGTTGTCGACTAGCTCGTCGGCTTCCTTTGATGACTACCAACCTGGGGTTCGGGCCATGGATGCTAGTGACGAAGAAATCTCGGCATAATCCTAGGGAGACTCATCGAAAAGGGAAAGTGGAGATTTATTCGAGAAATCAAATCACGGTGATAGCCTCCAAGAATGGGAAGGGTGGACCGGAGATAAAGAAAAATACCATCACTTACCTTCTCTTACAACTACCAACGGTCCCTTTCCCCAAAAGAACCCGATTCGGGAAAGGAAAAGAACTAATGGAAAGAAAAGTAGCGATGAGCCAACGAAAGAGAAAGACCAAAAGGGTACCGAGGAGGTTAACAAGAGGAAATGCCTAATTGGGTTAGGGCCATCACAACAGCAAGCAGGGAAAATGGGCCAAAAACATCAACAAATGTCGGGACCTCTTCCTCAGTCCATCGGCTAGAAACTTCTCTTAACAAGCTTCCAGAGGTTTGTTTCGAGTGCGGGAAGATTGGGCATTTTTCTGTAGTCTATCCACAGAACTTGCCGATCTCCCCCTTGTCGGTACATGATTGTCGACTAGCTCGCCAGCTTCCTTCGATGACTACCAACCTAGGGAGACTCATCAAAAAGGGAAAGTGGAGATTTATTCGAGAAATCAAATCACGGTGATAGCCTCCAAAAATGGGAAGGGTGGACCGGTGATAAAGGAAAATACCATCACTTACCTTCTCTGACAACTACCAACGGTCCCTTTCCCCAAAAGAACCCGACTCAGGAAAGGAAAAGAACTAATGGAAAGAAAAGTAGTGATGAGGCAAGGAAAGGGAAAGACAAAGTGGGTACCGAGGAGGTTAACAAGGGGAAAGGCCTGCTTGGGTTAGGGCCATCCCAATAGCAAGCAAGGAAAGTGGGCCAAAAACATCACCAAATGGCGGGGCCTCTTCCTCAGTCCATCGGGTAGAAACTTTTCTTAACAAGCTTGTGACTGGGATTGAACCTCCACATAACGGGTTTGGGCTTGTAACTAATGGAAATCCCACAACGCACCTTCATCAATCGCCGATAGTTCGTACTGTGACAAGGCAGAATAGTGCGGTGATGCAGATCGTGGAAAACATCCAATTGGCAAAGGACAGTAGCGATCATGCGATCAATTCGTCTCCTTTGGTTGCGTCAAGAACTAAACGGAGCAAGAACAAGAAAATGCAAAGCAAAAGATCCCCTAGCACGTTCAATCAGATGAAACCCCTGCAGATTTGGTCCCTAGTAAAACATCCAATCGGCGAAGGAAGGTAGCGATCTCGTGATTAATTCGTCTCCTTTGGTTGCAGCAAGAACTAAACGGAGCAAGAACAAGAAAACACAAAGCAAAAGATCCCCTAGAAAGTTCAATCATATTGAACCACTGTAGATTTGGTCCACAGTAAAGAAATCCAAATCCAAGGTACGCTTAGCATCTGTGACTCTCCAAGAAATCAACGTCTAGACCTAAATAGAAAAACGACCGGCGGGCAGAGGAGGAGAGAAGGAACAAGATACCACGGCGGGCCATTTTCGGTCGGCGATCAGTCCGAGTGACGGGTTGTCGCCATCGGCGTGATGCTTTGGCTCTGCTGCTTTCTGACCTTTTCATGTTCCTCTCTTTATCTTTATCAGTATGTCATGAACTCTACTTTAAAAAAATCCTGGAATGTTGGAGGCGTAGGAGGTAGGACTTTTCCGGGCGCTGAAACTTGCAATTCAAAACCACCAACCTGATTTTGTGGTGTTGCTTGAGCCCCGACTCTACTAACGCCATTTGCGATAAGTTGGGCTTCCCCAACTCAATCCGGGTGGAGGCGGAAGGGCAAAGAGGAGGTCTGTGGGTATTCTGGGATGCGGGATAATTCTCGGTGCAACCATTCTCTGCCTGTTTTCAACATATCTCA